GGGCCAGGGCTGCTGACGTCAGCAGCGTGACGTCAGCATGACGTCACCTCGGATGTGCTGGCTTCTGACATGTGGGTCCCGCGTGACGTCATCATGACGTCAACATCTGGCGTGTGGGTCCGGAGTGTCTGTGCCGCTGACATGTGGGTCCCGGTCAACGGTCAATGTTGACCGGTCAACGGTCAATACGGGCTGGGTCTGAACTGGGCTCTGGTGGGCTCGGGTTGGGCCGGTCTGGGTCGGGCCGACCTGGACACGTGGCACGCTGCGACGCTGCCACGTCGTAGTCGTGGGCTCTTACTAGGCTGTGGTTCACAAGCGTGGTCCACGGTGGACGCAAGTTCACGGTCCATGGACCCAAGGCAGGGTCCATGGTGGACCAAGTCCACCTTTCTCTTCTCTGGCTGGGTCCATGTATACCAGGTGCACGCGCAGGTGGCCGGCGAGGGGGGGTGTTCCCCTATTTTTCCCGCGGCGGTGCTCCTGCCAGCGGCGAGCTCGCTGCGAGCCTCCTGTGGCAGCGCTGGTGTCCGATTGGGGAGGGGAAAAGCTTCCCCAGACCATGGTGATCACGTTGGAGGGGTCTAGGTGGCGGCCGAGGTTTCCTAGGGCGCTGGCCACGGCGAACGGTGGCTTGCTGTGGCGGTGCTCGCCGGCGAGTCATGGACAGAGCGATGTGGTGGCTGGAAGCTTGCTTGGCGGGGTGCGTTAGCTTCCCGTGGCTCTAGTGAACGGGGCGGATGAGTCAAGGAAGCTCCAGGCGTTTCCAGCGGTTCTGGCCACGGTGGTGGTGCACGGCGGAACTCCGGCCGGTGGTTCAGTGATCGTGGCCGAGGCACCACGGTTGGCTATCGATGTCTCCGTCTACGCGGCTGTCCTCCAGTCGTTACTACGATCCTCTACTGCTGCGTTCTAGTCTGGCGAGGCGGCCGTGTGTGCCAGCGGTGGTGCACGGTACGACGGCGGCATCGTGAGCGCGGCGTGCACGCGTGGGTGCACCACGGGGCTCCAGTAGAGCGATCATGGCATGGTCGCGGGTGTGCGCGTGGGTGCGGGTGTTCCCAGAGGCCGGAGACGGCCCTGGCCTACGCGCTCCTGGTGTGGAGCGCCATAGGCGGCATGGTATAGTCCGATGGCGAGCAGGGAGATATCGGGAGGCTCACCGTAGGTGTCGTGGGACATAGGATGGTGGTGCAGTGGCGGGTTGCGGCCGTGTAGCTCCGGAAGCAGTGCCGTGTTGACCCTCGACCGTGACGAGGACGGTGGCGTCGCCCTCCGCTGCGGCAACTCTGGCGGCGTCGGGCTCTCCTTCTTCTCCCACTCCTTTCCTTCTTCCTCTCTTGGCTCTCTCTCTTGGCTCGGGTGTGCAGAGGGTAGCCACAAGGTGGTGGCGGGGCGTTGAGAGCTAGGGGCGCTAGGGCAACCGAGGCCGGGCTTTTATAGTCGTGCACCAAGCTTCCATGGCGGACGATGATCGATCGGTGGAGAGACGGGCGAGGCAATCCTACGGTGGCGTGAGGTTGCGTAGGCACGGCGCCAAGGAGACAGGGGCATGCCCCGGGCATGACCCCTTAGCCCGCCCCTGCCAGTGCTGTCTGGGCTCGGTCGGAGAGGGGATTCGGAGTGAGCGGCTAGGGGCGTGGCGTGGAGAAGATGAACAGGAGGGCTGACATGCGGGGCCTGTGTGGCAGCGGCAGCAGGTGAAACGGGAAAACGCGCGGGCGTGGGTGACGCGCGGCTGATGCATGGGGCCAAGGTGGCAGCGACTGCTGGCGAAGTGAGCATGCGGTGGCTGGGCTGGCCTGGGCCTGGTCAAGGCAGCAGCCATGTGAGCTTAATGCGAATAATGGTTGTGGTTGGTCATTGGCTGCATTGCTGGTGGTGGCCGAGAAGCCGAGCAGGCCTGGGCTGCGAGGCCTTCTCCTTTTCCTTTTTCCATTTTTCTTTTCTTTTCCATTATTTGAATTCAAATTTGGTTTAGAATTTGAATTCAAAACTGAGGTAACTTATTCGTTGGAATTTAGGGAATTTTGTTTAATAATAACTTTATGGTTTATTACTTTAATGGAATTGTTAAACATAGCATAAAGCAAATGAAAACCCAAATCACAATTTAAGTTAACATTGTATGCAACATGTTATTTGTTGGAAATTTAATAATCATAATTAACAAATGATATGCCATGCTTATGTGTTGACTTAGGTTGGGTTACTTCTAATGCAACTCTTAGGGTTGGCTCCTACAATGTCACTCATCATCATATGGGAGTTTTAAGAAAAATTTTGTAGTTGTGATTTTTGGTGTGTGGATTTCTAGGTTGTTATAGGTGTCCTCCAACATAGTAATAATAGGCTTGAACCTTGATTCTATAATCCAACTAATGAATGATTCACTCATGTTGTTGTCAACTGATTCACAATTGGATCCAAGTCTGAACCAAGCTCGAGACCAATGAATAAGATTTGTTTTCTCCAAATCCTGCCATCCCCGAGGAGTTTTTGCAGCAAGCTTACTCTTGTAATGCTTAAATAACTGCTCGTTAGGTGCCTTTGCAATCTTCCAAAACCTCTTTTGGTACTTTTGGAATATCTCCTCTCTTCTTTACTTCTGACATAAACTCTTTGTATTTGGTTTTTATCTCCCTAACTTCATCATCTTCATCACTTGTGAAACCTGTAGCGTCACAGCCATCACTCTCTGATTCTGAATCTTCTGCTTCTTCTTCTTCATTCAGACTATGCTAACCATGGGTTGGACCTTCCAAACATAGCATGTTACCACCCTGAACAAATTTGTCCCTATTTTGGACAGTTTGTTCCTCAACAACAGGTTCTACATGATCCAAATCAATGATATTATCATCTCGAAATATGGCAAATACATCCTCATCTGCATACTGTGTTCCAGATTCTTCATTCCCACCCATGTCAACTGATTTGGTGTATATATCTACAGCTCTAGCAGTTCCCAGCTCATTAATCATGTCCAAACATGACTTGTCATCTACAAGTAACCTCATTCCACTGTTCAATTCTACACCATATGGCAACCAGAACATCCTAACAGATCTAGGAAAAGTTGTGTGATTCAATAGGTGGCCTTCAAGTTCGGTGATAGATATCTTGTCCTTCTCTATGTGGGACACTCCACAATCCCCATCGCAATACAACATCTTTGACGCATCAAGAACAAATTTCCCATTAAAATGAAATCGAACTTCCAGTACCTCCAATTCAGACATTGTTTTGCAGCCCTATAGATCCACTATATGGTCAAATTTAAACATTCTACAAGGAAATCAAACGCAATTGCAAAACCAGTGAAGTGCCACTTCATCTCACCTTTGCAGCAAGTCCACTCCTCTTCCTGCGTCGTGGTTGCCTATGAGCAGGGGTCTGTCTGCCCAAGGACGAGGGGCGCACCTCCACCCCTTCGAACAATCCGGCGTCCCACACTGATCTCCGCCCCAAGCCAAAACCCTAACCTACCTATGCAGCTGCCATGACGAACAGAGAGGATGAGGACGAGAGGGAGGAAACGGGGAAGAGGGAAACACCATCAGCCGGCCAACGGGTAAAGAAGTGAGTGAGGGGCAGGACAGACATTACGCATGTCTAGCTGGCCACGTGGCGTGCTGTCAAGGGGAACGGACGAGATTGAGTCCGAAATCGATTGTTGAAGGACGAAAGTGGACAATTTGATAGTTCAGGGGTCAAATTGAGCCTCGGGCGATAGTTTAGGGACGAAAATGGCTATTTCGCCAATATTAAACTAGGCCAGCTATAATAATAATCATACGCGCGCCAGCTAAAATAATAATCATATGCCAGCTAAAATATTAATATACATAATCACATGGGATTTTTTTCTACTCCCATGTGTGTACTGCTTCCAACTAATTAGGTGAGTGGGTGCATGGAACTAACAAGAATAAATTTTTAAATAATAGAGAAAATGGTGGCGTTCACTTTGGTAGCGCACAAAGCTCATTACCTTCCATGTGCTACATGTTTGTTACCATATTTGTTGCAATAGCTGCTGTATAACGTGTAAGCATATATGTAAACGATCAATGAGATATTCGTTTCCTTGGGTTTCTTTTTTTTCAGTTATGTAATTACTTCATAATTTCAAAAAATCAACGGCTATGATTGATTCTAGCTATTACTTCCTACGAGGTAATGGGGTACCATATATAGCAAGGCCCAATACACAAATGCTCTCAAACATAATTCCATTGCATAGATCTCATTTTTATGAAAATTTTGGTTCAAGAATCATATTTTCAAAGTTTGCATGAAATTAGTTATGAATTTAAAAGATTAAAAAGTATTTTCCTATTTAAAAAAACATTTAAAGGCTGGATTAACCAGGTGATGCCGCATGACAGTACCAAAGCGTGTAACGTGCCCTCTAGTTGACAGGTAGGGTCACGAGAGGAGGCAGAGCAATTCGTTGCAGAGATTATTGAGACCCCCGCCAGTTTGCAGCTATAGCACTAATAAAAGACAATATATAGCTGTCCTCTACCATTCACACTGAAATATACAGCTGCTAGCACTGATAACATAAGTATATGCTCCTTTTCTAAGAGTCTACGATTAGAAATAGAACATTTCAGACGATGACAGGTGAGGAATACAGGTATACAGCGCCTTCTCCCCGGACAAAGAAAAAAGACTGCAGAAATTCCTCACCCACTGTCGTCTGAAGCCCCGGTTCCTCATCGAATGGACCCGAAAATGTTATACAAATCTAAAAAAGAAAAAGAAAAGAAGAGACTAGAACGGAGAGTGGCTAATAAGGGCAGGACACGAAAATCCGAGCGACCTATCTAGCAAGACTACTGCCACGCCATATACAGTCTAGTACTGAAGGCCTGATCACACAGTCTGCTGCTCTGCATGCATGAGTCCATATAACTGTACACGAGCGTACGTACGAAAGTGTACGTACGCCGGTCAAGCACAGCGCCGCCGCCATCCGGCCGGCGGCGGCGTCAGGCCAGCCAGGACGACGAGATGGTCAGGTCCAGGTTCAGAGCCGCCGGCTTGCTCTCCTCCTCCTTCACGGAGGCGACGCGGCGAGCGCCTGCTGCCGGCCGAGCAGGCAGCAGCAGCTCCTCGCTGATGGAACTCGAGCCGTCGGCGTCGTCGCTGCTCGCCGCGTCCTCCCACTGGCCGATCGACAGCGTGAGGTCGCATCCCGTGTGCTGCTTCTCGGACTTCTTAGTGTGACTTGGCCTAATCTCCTGGAATAACACAAGCAGATGAGCTAGGTGTTACTACAACTTAGAATTAAGTATCAAGGCATCAACATTAACACGCTAATACTATACTATCACGACTTTGGAAGCATTTGATTCAGACATTTTTATCTAGCTCATGGGTCTGGACTATGGACCATGCATGCATGTAGTAGTAGGGCATAAACAGTCAATACACGGCAGTATGGGAGTTTGGCAGCCTGCCACCTAATGATGCATACAACCAAAATGAAGCTTCTAGGGAATGGTACATGCATATGCATCCATGCATGCATTATTGTTTGAGTAGATTTTGTCAGCAAATTAATCATATATGGGAAAAGCCGTATTGTTACCTTCTCTGTTGTTAGCACGTTGGAGTTCCAAGGAACACGCCCTCTTCTTTGTTCCCAGCAGCTTCTGAACACTTCCTCTAGTGACGGTCTGCAAGTAAAAATAGTCGAATTTAATCTCAAATCTGAAATTCAGGTAAATTCCTGTTCGATCATTAATTTGAAGATTGCGAGGAAGCGTGATGGGTTTGTGCTAATTAACGACGCGCTTACATTATTTGGTATGGTGATGAGTGGCTGCAACCATGGAGCATGGTAGTATAAATGTTCTTGTCTGATGAAGCTGTAGTGTTGCCATCCTGTGACGCATAGACGCAGTGATCTTCACGGCTCAAGAACACGCGCTTGCTGTTGCTCGCCGCGGTTGATGTCAACTTCTGGAGGCTGGACTGATGATGGGTACTGCTGCTACTGGAGCTGGAGCTTCTGTACATCTGGTCATTTTATTGGAAGAAATTAAACAAGGTTGTGTTATCGTTCAAATAGCTAGAATTAGGCAAGGTTATTAGCATATATATCTCATATGTGAAGCTGAAAAATGCAGTTAATTAATGTGTACGTTAGTAATAATATACAAGCAAAATTATATGCCATGAATTAAAGTACCTGAAGGTGGCTCTTGATATGAGATATGCTAACTCCCTTCAAGCCCATCAACTGAAGAATTCGCTTCGGAGTTGCTTCTGCATGACAAAAGAAAACGAAAGGTTAACACGCACAATAATTAATACGACTGATTCTGAAGCATGATCTTTCAAATTAAATTATGACAAGATATGGGGTGGGTGTCAATTAGTTCAGAGAATGTGCCCATATATGCTGTTATCCATTAAACCATATTATCATTGTCTTTTATATGAAAAATAACTGCTGTAGTTGATTTTGTGGGTGTATTGCATGAATATCGTTGTCAATTTGTCTATTTGTATGGTTATACAGCTACCTAGAGTTATCAACATGACAACATGTCCGCAGATTTGATATCCTTATTTAAGTATTTATGGATGCAACTATATATATGTGTCCTATACACATGTTTGCTAGAAAATACAATGAACTCATACATGAGTAGTAACTACAAATATCTATATATATAGGAATTGAAGAGTGTCTGTTAACCAGGCCATATGCAAACTCAGAACACACGCAATCAATATAATCAGCATGAAATAAAAAAAAATATTCAAGAGAAAATTTGAAAGAAGGGTAAATTTGAGAACAAAATAAAGAGAACAAACTTGTTTAACTTTGGAAATAATGAAATTAACTTTTTCATAGATAATCATATATATAGCTTACTAAATTGAGTATGTAATTCATATATTTTGCAATAATTCTAAAGATTAGTAACTGGCTGTAGAAACGTTTCAAGCTTCTATGAACAATATTTATCTATCAGCAAAAGGCTATAATCGCCCATACATGATAAATCAAAGGAGAAATTAAAGGAGAATAATCTCATGGATGCTCATCATTCAAGCATGCGAATCACGTGTTTTCCTTTTTATTTGCCCGGTGGACTCCGCCACCAACAAACTCCTGCCTAACAACCTATAAACACTAATTAAGGGGAATGAGATAATCAAAACCTCAAAACTACAAATGAGAAAAACTATGCCTTAATCGGTTATACTTCCCAAATAAGATTGCAAAAGAAACTATGGATCCAAATCAGTCAAAGCATGCAGGCTAGCTCTCGGGCATGTTTCATGCATGCTGCTGCATAGCCTGCATATGCAGTTGGAGTGGAGGAGAAGAAGGAAGGTATTGGAAGACGACTCACTGTCCTGGCCACCGAGGCACTCGACGGCCTCCACGAACTGCCGGTGCAGCTCCTCCGTCCACCGCATCCGCGGCACCTCTGACCGGTTGTACTGCCGGACCCCTTTTCTCTCAAACCCTCTCATTCTCCCTGCTGCCTCTCCGGTTTGCAGCCTTCACCTTGCTCTATCCCTAGCTAGCTGCTCAATTCTTTCAGACTCTAGCTAGCTAGCTTCTCATATATATATGGTAGTAGCAGAGTTATATATCTAGTTAGATATATATAAGTATGTTGTTGAGAGTTCGGCTGAACGATGACAAACACCTTGCAGCATATATTTAAGTACTTGCTTGCTGCCTACCGTGCACAAGGATGACAGGATGTTGTACTATATAAGGCTGATGGAATGTGTGAAGAAGGAGAAGAAGAAGAAGAGAGAGCAGAACACTCTAAGGGGGAGAAATTAAGAGAAGGCTGAGTTTTCTGACCTAGTCCAGTCAAACATGCTCACTCAGCTCTCTAAAAGGGCAGCAGCAGCACTGCGAAGAAAATATAGGTACGGCCGTAGCCACAGTTTCTGAAAAGCTGGGCTGTCCATGTTCACGAGACAACGAATGCAAGTATAATTCAACTAGTGCTTGCATTTTCATATATATGGGATCTATAGCTCTATTTATTATATTGTCCAGGTCGTCTACCTAAAATCGCTGATGGTGAACAGTTCTCCTGTTTGACAAAAAGGATCTGCGCTGATATTTCCGGTGGTTAATTCAGTTGTTTCAACGCGTGCATTAAATAACAGTCCCTATCTATGTTGGCTAGCAGGTTTGACAAAAGAATTCGAGAAAATTAGCAGTGTGCGTGGAGCGAGTGTTGTCTACGTACGTTTAATTTGATAAATACGTGTACTGGGTTATATAGGATTTTAATCCAGAAGTATACGTACATCAGGCATAATAAAGATTTAAAGGTCAATTCAACTCTGGGCCCTGGATTTCCCCAAGAAATGGGAAACGAATGTGATATATAGGCGTAGCTAACACTCTTACACTTGCATGTCGATCCAACAGCAAGTGGCTCTTACACCGTACGCTGCAATGTCAAAAGCATGTATGAAAGCATGCAGAAATGGGCATATCCGATCCCTTGGGGAAAAAATCACTCTTCTTGTTAGTGATAGAGTTCAAATGGCTAACATATTGTCACAATATGGAAAAGTGCAATGTCAAAAGAATTTGTTCGTACCTATATCGTCTATATAGCTAGCTATGTTGATTTGTATGCAGGAAATTAGCGCATATATATGACTTGGCAAATCATGTTGCGTCACATTTGATGAATGATTCAGAAGAGATGCCCAAAATCATCTTATAAAGATCATGTCTTCCCATACAATTATTCTTGGCGATAAATTGATAATGCGTGTTTCGTCGATCGGGGCATTAAACCGGTGAGAATTCTGTGGTTGGTATTGGAACCTTGCAAGATGGAATGCTTATGAAGTCAAAGGTGGCAGTTTGCAATTACCTATCAGCATTACACCAGTGGCGACATCGTCACGAGAAACGACGATGGGACAGGAAGGACCCAAGCATTCTCTACGTACGGGTAATGAATTGTGGACTTTGGACCACATTCTTGTCCTAGGCAAAAAAAAAAAGAGAGGAGGCGAGAAAAGTTGCAAGTATCAACATCCAATCCAAATTCATGGATGCATCCTCGGTTCACTTCAGCTCTCGTTGATATGATAGGGACCAGGACACGGTCTTTTGAAATTCTTTCCCCGCTGAGACCTTTCCTAGATAGTAGCCGGGCTTTTTTTTTCTGCTTTTCAGAGTGTGGGTGTAAATATATACATATGTGTGTGCTCTAGAAAAAGTTTGATAAAAATGCCTTGAAGATTTCACGACTCGATCGGATCTTGAAAAACTTGTGAACGAAAAGTTCTCTGCGTGTGTGGAAACCAGACAACATTCTAAGGATCTTTCTTTTCGAGTTACCTTGTTCTAACCCTGTTTAAACGTGAACTTGTTGAACTCTGTGTGCGTGGGACTTTTCTAGTATTAGTAAAACCACAATTACCAATTGTAGAAAATGAGAAAGAGATTATTCTACAACATAACCATTGATATATTCACTAGTCCTTTTAACCTCCTACCTCTACCAAATTCATTTTGTTAGTTTCAAGATGGACCGAGTTTTGCTTTGAGAAAATTCAGAGCTCTGGGGGAAAAAATCGTAAACTTTACACAGCTCACGCGAAGGAAGTGGATATATCTGAGGTGTTTGCTAACAAATTTAATTGCTGCAATAATTTGTTACTTACAGCACAGGTCAAGATCCTCCTTTTGGTGGCTAGAAAGGTATTGTCCATATTGAAGACTTCATGCATGGCTATGTATATAGCTAGCTGCCTAGAGATGTGCAGGCTTTTACATTCACACAAGATGCATGCGACGGCAGGCGTAAGGAGCTTTGCCACGAATTGTTGCCGAAATGGTCGACATGCGCGTACTGCACTTGTCGCCTCAGCAATGACAGTTTGAATGATCCGTGTGCATGGTATAGCCCCACATGCATGCACGTACATGTACGTGGTACAGTACGTACTTACATACGTGCACACGCAGGACACAGAACTACTATTCCAGGACGTGCATGAGACTATTATACCTTGTTCCAAGAACGCACAGGCCAAGCTCAACCATTCAAAACGTGAGCACGACGTTGTGACACAGGCCAAACATGCACCGTACATATGTATACTCTCGACCTCTTTCGTATTCGCGGGGCCAGGGTGGGGCATCCTTTGAATAAACCCTTTTGGACTTGTTTGGCTGCACTACGAAACATTCTAACTCACATGGGATTATAGAGACTGAGATGAAAAATTTCCACTTAATTCCTCCAATCTCAACCATATGGATTAGGGTGGATTGAACTGTAGCCAAACAAACCCATCATGTGTTCTTGGGAAAAAAAATTGTAGTGATCCATCAAGGTGATTAATAGCGTTTCGCAATAGCACCCATAAGGCTAATCTCAATATGAGCCGTTGTATTATACTCACTAATTATGTGATACATTGGTATTTTTTTTTGCTGATGTGGTAATGTATTTAATAGGAGAGATGATTTATATATTTCTTGTGCTCTAGACGTCTTAGGTCTAAAGATACTCTACCAATGTCCTATTTGGGTCTCCTAAGAAAAATGAGAATGGGACCCAAACACACTTGGATTTTAGAATGAGATTCTAGAATCCAACTATCTACCCCAAACATGGTCTTTTGATATTTCTACTATGCAAAGGTAATAATCGCTATAAGAATGAGATCCAAACAATCATCTTTTCTATCCAGAATCTAGATTTTACATTTGCTATCTGGAATCCAGATTCTCACTTATGAGAATGAGATACAAACAGACCCCAAAACTTGGATAGTTAGCATGCACCATCCAAAGCAAAAGATCGAGACATGCATGGAATACACAGTATATTCCTATCATTTTGAGCGACCTCTTCATAGAAGCGTGCATCCAGAGCACCTACTATTGGAAGTTAGCGTTATAGGAGCCCAGGTTTTAATAGTTATTCGGAGCCCCTCACAGCACCCTTGCAGCAGCCTCAACCACTCACTCAATGTGCCACATGGCAATCCCCACTAGATCTGCCAGCAATCATAGAAACACGTGGTCATTGTCATAAACCACTACTACATAAACCATTTTTGCCAGCGCTATTTTCACTGCTAGCAACCATGGAAAATACATTCAAAATGGATCTCAATTTATGCACAAAAATTTCAGCAATCTAATGGTGAAAACCATTTTTATTTGGTTGCTTCTTTGATGAATTGTTGCAAAAAATAAAAAGAATAAGGTAGGTCTACATGCATGCTTGTAAAAGTCAGGTGGCTGGTTGTGTTAGGTTGGGAGTAGATTTTGGTCAAGAGGTTTCTATGACTCGCAGTGAAGGTGTTTATGGATGCAAACACAGGTTTCTAAACTTGTGCAAAAGCTAGTCCTGGTGCCACCCAACCAAATGACATACCATCGTTGGGGCTAATCCTCACGTTACACGTTGAATTCTATTCCATTCACCAGTGGCCTGAGCTTTTCCCACCATTTTTTTTAAATTCCGATAAGGCATGCAAGAGTACATTTATTCTAGAAGCACACACCACAATTGTAAAATATATGATTTTTATCCAGTTGTGTCCCTGCAATAGTAATCTTAGCTATTGCCACAATAAAATATATGGTTTAAGGGAGGCATTGTCGTTGATCGTAGGAAGGTAGCGTTGCGGCTGGTCGAGGGTGGGGGAGGGAGGGGGAGCCGACACCGGTGGGAGAGGAGGCTGCCGATGCTTGGGTTGATGCCACCACAGGGTATGAAACCGCCACCTATAGGAAGGTGTTGGGATTTGGATGCTAGGAGAAAAAAAGAAGAGGGGATGAGGGGAGAGATAGAGTTCGTAGAGGAGGGGGGCTACTTATACTCTATAAATGTATGAGACCCTGATTTTTACTCATGTGATACCATTTAACACTAATACGACATATGTTTGCATATAGGGGGAGTAAATTTTGGTACTATTGCGGGGTTTCTTTTTTCTTAACCGAAGAGCGTGGCGCTCCAGTAACACGTTGAATGTTATTCGACTATGCAGGGCATGGAATAGTGTGCAGAGAGGAGCAGGGTTTTTAATTTTGGTATTAAAAAAATTAGGCCACCCCCGAAATTACCAAAATTCACGAAATTGGGCTGAAATTTTTTTAGAGACTTGCACATGGAGTATGCTTTTTCTAAAAAAATAGATGTAAACAAATATTAGCATGATTTATGGCTACACATCTATTGAGTAGAAGAATATACGACATAGACGATACAAAATATGAATCTAGAGTTATATAGCACATATATTAGTGTATTACAAAATTTTAGTTTTTCTTTCGACCACCACCGAAATTCACAAAATTTTGGTGAAATTTTGCTGATTTTTTTAACCCTGGTAGAGAGAGGGCCAGAGCCATTAAGAAAATAAAGAACAGTAGTCTCCATTAACTTAACTATTCCCTGGCTATATCATGGATCTGTACTTTAATTTGGGCTTAAGCCTGAGCTCTCAAGTTAACAAGCATT